TTATTATTATATTTTTTCTTTGGGGGGGGACTGACAGCTGGTAAGTCCAAGAATTTAGAAAGGAGAGCCAAAATTTACCCCCCCCTCCCCTTCCCCAACTGTTCCTACAGATCTGCCCAAGTAGAATTCTTGTAGAGAGTTAGTTAAAAGAAAACTATGTTTGTGTTACTATAATTTGTTATTGCATGTCATTTGACATGGAATAAAGTATACCTACACAGGACATAAAAAGGGGAGGACAGGCTGAGATTGCAGGAGGAATGTGATAACAAATTAATTTGCTATAATATTATTATTATTAAAATATCAGGTTTATGATTAGGTCTAGGTATTTGTAAAACTTGATATAAGTCCTGAGGTTTGAATAGACATCTTTCTAAAATTTCACGTCTGTGATTTTCGTGTGCAATGTTGAAAGTAACTTATGGTTTAAAATTTATTTGCTACAGGTTTGAGGCAGAGTTTTTCACCTTTGACGTCTCCCAGGAGAAGTAAGTTTTACATGTTGTTTCACGTGTGCATGATTTTATCAAGTGAAAGAGCAGTCATTGGATTTTTAAATGGATTTGATTTGCAGCTTATTTTGTTCTGGTGGCCAAGCATACTTGAAAAAATTAATGTTTTTATTAAAAAGCATATCGGTTGCTAATGTCCTTGGTAAGTATAGACCTATCTAACCATGTAAATTTGTTGCAGATAAAATTTAAAATATATTGGAAAGCTGAACTAACCAAAGCCAAAATGACATATTTTTGATATTATATATTAATAATTATAGTGGAATATATATATATTTTTTTTATTTCTTAAGCTATTGTCCTTAAATTTCAGCTGCCAAAGTAAAAGCCGGACCTGTGCCACCGCTATCTTTGAGTGATGCAGAAAATTCCTCACCATTAAGTTCAAACAGATCTAGTCCAGGGAGATTTGAAGGTAGCGAAACGGTCCTTGAGACTTTTATGAAGAGACATACATCACAAAAAGACTAAAAAGAAAAAAATCTAATATCAAACACCCAGTTTTTGAAATCTTGAAGGTCAGAGAGTTATATTCTATTCCATATGTCACACATACAGTGTGGATTCTAGTGTTCCTGTCTGTGTTTCAGGAGACCCACCATTAAGAAGACTGAGCAATGGAGTCCAGTCGACAGGGTCCCTGTCCTCTGGGAGCAGTCCACCTGATAGTCCATATGGAAGCCAGTATCTAGAAACACAGAAGGGTAGGATACTCTAGGCTGTGAAGAAAAGCAAATACAGTAGATTTCTGATGCTTTGAGACTGGAAAATTTGTTAAAGTTACTTGAAAACTTGCGTTAGGAAATTTTTGTAAAGCTTAAGTTAATACAACAGAAAAAAAATTGGTTGCGTTCAAGTGTTCTGCTGTCTACTGATGTCTTTCTATTTGGTAAGAAAAGTCATTTTTGCTACAATCTCATATTTTTGTGGCAAATTTGGTTTTCCAAATTGACCTCGAAAGAGTTTATGAAAAATGTTCTGTTGAAGTACAAGAAAGATATTTGAAGCCTTTAGGATTAAAAGGCAAGTGAGTAATATGATCATGATAATAATGCTATGGATGGGATGTTTTGATGTATTATGTAGAGTTACATAGTTTTAAATGGAATTTAAAAATTTTATTCTACCCCTCAGGTACAAAATTTTAATCCCTTATTTTGATAATTTCAGAACCTCATCGCAGAAGTTTGCCAAATCTCTCCAAGGGGACGTCAAATTTAAAATCTCCAACAAGTGCCACTGGCTCAGAAACATTTAGAGTCCAAGCTCCCCAAGTACAGCGCCCATCAGGAATGAAAGAGCCTGTCAATCATTCTCCGACGTATCGACCCACGTCACCAGCAGTTAGTGGTCTCAGACAACCGGCCAAGCGGCCAGTTTCGCCTGCTGGAAGTGGGATCCCTGGACCCAAGACGGGAATCCCAAGACCAGGGAGAACAGGAATTCCTTCGCCTAGGAGGTACTTCAGCAGCAACAACAAATGATTGCTTTGAAATAAAGAGACAATTAATTGGTAGCAAATATTCATTTGTCACATACTTATGTTTTTATGAAACTTGGCAGATGTGTTATGCTGTCAGTCCAACTTCTCTTGTCTGCTCTGCCGTCACTTGGTGCAGTTGTCAGTGGTCAAGAACATTTGCTACCAACTACGTTGTGGACGCACGGTTTTTAGGTTCCTTGTGTCCAGCTAGGACGTAGCTAGATCGCAGGGAAGGAATCGGGAAGGAGTTCGTGCGTGAGGAGCATGTCCATCGTGCAACTTTTGGAGGACGCAAACAGCACGTAGAAACTTTTCGACATGATCAACAGCCTCTACGTGCGATATAGCTACATCCTAGCCGGACGCAAGGAACCTAAAAAACGTGCGTCCAAAATGTATTTCGGACCTAGGCTTAACTTTTCGACATGATCAACAGCCGCTACGTGCGATCTAGCTACGTCCTAGCCGGACGCAATGAACCTAAAAACTGTGCGTCCAAAACGTAGATGGGACCTAGGCTTAACAGTACCTCACTGATAAACCCATCTCAACAAAAGAATAGTTACTTTTAAGAAACATTTGCATGTATTAAAGAACTGCCTCCTGCTGGAAAAGAAATATCTAAATCAAATGCCTAGAATGGATCAGTTTGTCAAAAGGAAATGAAAAAGTGTTTAGCCACTTATTGTCATTGATTTGGTGTAAGATAATTTTGGCAATAACAAAATTGCATTGCTAATTTTTTCTAGAACTTCTCTATAATACGTTACGTGTGACTTCATTTGACATTTGTGGATACTGAAGGAAAACTGATATTGTGTAGCTGCCTGATTGCAACTTAATAATCTTTTACCACAAACTCCATGTTACCTTCATAAAGTATTCAGACATACTTATGCATTGATTAGCTATTGTTTTTGTAGTTATGAATTCCATATATTACTTAAATTATATAAATTTTAAGTTAATTTTTCTATACAAACTGTATTTTATAATGTGCCAAGGAAACTCATTCAAACAAAAAAAAAAAGAAAGAAAAAG